GGGGGGGGGGAAGCAAGCGAGCGCAGACTGACAGACAACAGGAATGATGTTCGGGCCAAACTATACACGTTTTTTATTTCTACTCTCAAGAGACCAGTTTAAAACTGATCTGCATTGTCACCAGCAAGAGAAAATACGATACTACTAAAAAGGAAATAGCGTTTGGGTTTTATTTGTATCATAATGTAATAATACACTTGGAAGTATGATCTAAAAAGCTGTGGCCATGAATTTACAGAAAGAGCCGTTTGAACACTGTTTGTGTGTGGCTTTTATTTACCATCTTTAATTGTTTTTGTCCCATTGATGGACAAGGAACATTCATCTTTCTGAAAGATTTACACTCCTGTCATGTGTCTTATCATGTGTCATATCATGTGTCGTATCATGTGTCGTATCATGTGTCGTATCATATGCGAGAGACTTGATAATCCACACCATATTATGCTAGAACAACTTGATCCAGAATACAAAACCAAAACCAAGTTTGATATTCTTCCAGTCCACCGGAGCAGGAGAATATATGGCCTTAAGATACGAGTCCGACAGTAGACGTTGAGTCGTGCTGCACTCCGTTCTCCATCTGTTTTAGTTTTGGTGTGGTTGTGATAACCTCAGCCTGACCCCTGATTGGGTTAATCTCACCCTCATCTTCTCTCGCTGGTCAGCTGACAGAATGCCGCGCTGCGATTGGTGGACGCACTGCTGAGAAAGAGGAATTTGTTTAGCATTGTGTTGAAGTCACAGCTAGCCGCTGAGAAGTTTAGTCTACTGTCCAAACCATAGCAAAGCTTCAAAACACAAAAGCAGAAAGAATGTTTAGGGTGACTATTCAAAGACACAAACATGTTGGCTTTCTCAGGCAGTAGCCAACACGATACCGTTCCCCTCGCAGTGTGTGTAAAGCAGAACGAAATGTAAAATGATGTTAACTTGTGTATTCAGAACAACCTTATAGTAATAGTTGTTGTACCTCAAAGTCTGAGTTTTGGAGAAAAGAGGTCTCATATGGAGTTAAAAGCAGAGAGTAATGCAACAAGCCCAATAATGTAAGTTAGTTTCATTCAATGTTTCCCCCTTTAACTCTCAAAATAAGGATCCTGTGAAATGAAGTTATTGTAGTTCCAGTATTTCTAAATAGCTGTGAGGGACAGGCCGCTGTGCAGTAGCCGCTCCAGGCGCTCTGTTTGGAGGGCTTAAATCCAGCCAGATTAGATCAGAGGACCACTCTGTTTGTTTGTTTTGATTTGGGAGGGGCCAGGCTCCTGAGGGATAGCCCCCCCCCCCCCTCTCTCAACCACGACTCTGCTATCCCTCCCCAGGATTCCCCTTCAGGGCACAGTCGACTGGAGCCCCTCTGACCTCTCTGTCACCCCGTCCTAACCCACGTTAGCCAAGGCATCCTGAGAACAAAAAAGAAAGAAACCGAAGGAAGACTCTGCTGTGTTTTAGCGTCCGCGCAACCAAATCACAACCAGACCCGTTAGTCTGGGGGTGTAGGCAGTGCCACCCAGGCAGGCAGCGCCTCTGGCCCTGGTCAGCCCGAGCAGAGCTTCACCCGGCGCGTTGACCTCTCTTTCATCTGCTTGTTGGTCTGATGTGTTCTCTCACTCCTGTTGGTGCTTCTAGAGAAAGGTATTAGCTTAGCGAAGAGCTTGGCTGAAGGCCATTCGGGCTGCCGTCCTGTTGGCGTGTTACGTAATCATCATCATCATCACCAGAAGTTATTTTGAAGTTGCTGTAAAGACATCGACATTTGCTTCACTTCTAATTTGAAGTAGCATGGATGGAGTCCACATTTGATTAAAATAAGCTTTGTGACTGTGAGTCTGCCATCGGCTTGAACACAGCCAATTTGGCGTCTTTATAATCACATGATGTTCTGCAACTGTTTGAGCTCCGTTGTCTAGACCTCTGGGTCTCATGATTACTCTCTTTCCACCTATTCCCATTTCTTGAAACACTTAGCCCATTTTGTATTTCCATGTACCTCTGTCCAGGCATCAGCCAAGGGAATACACCTTCACACACACACACGCACACGCGCGCACACACACACACACACACACACACACACACACACACACACACACACACACACACACACACACACACACACACACACACACACACATACATATACATACACACACACACACCCCTCTGCTGACCTCTTCTTCATTCCCAACAGAGCCTGGGGTGAGGCAGCCTGGCACCAGACAGTCATTCAAACCTACTACTTACCTTCCTTCCTACTACACTACTACTACTACTTACGTACGTACTACTACGTACGTACGTACGTACCGTACCGTACCGTACCGTACCGTACGTACGTACGTACGTAACGTAACGGTAACGGTAACGTACGTACGAACGTAACGAACCGAACCGAACCGAACCGAACCGTAACCGTAACCGTAACCGTAACCGAACCGAACCGAACGAACGACGTACGTACGTACGTACGTACGTACGTACGTACGTACGTACGTACGTACGTTACGTTACGTTACTACTACTACACTACACACACACACGACACACACACACACACACACACACACACACACACACACACACACACACACACACACACACACACACACACACACACACACACACACACACACACACACACACACACACACACACACACACACACACACACACACACACATACATATACATACACACACACACACCCCTCTGCTGACCTCTTCTTCATTCCCACCAGAGCCTGGGGTGAGGCAGCCTGGCACCAGACAGTCATTCAAACCCTCAGGCTGCTTCACAACAGGTCAGAGACGGAGACAGAGAGAGGGATGTATTCACGGCTGATTGTTCACAGATTAACTGGTGTCTTCACTTCAGAACTCAGGCTTTGTGAAGAAGCCTTTATAAATAATATTAAATGATAACTGAGACTTGTTTGTTGGATTTTACATCAACATTTTCTTTAGAAATATAGCAACTACATGCAAAACTAATGTGCTTCTTTTGACTTGAATTATTGCCTTTGTAGATTCCCTTTTAGTCTTTAAACCCATTTATTTAGAAACGGGAACAAATATGTTGTTCAGCCATAAATTAATTTATTATGTTTCATTTAATTTTAATCCCATGAAACAGGAAATAAAAGCAGGGGGATGCTGTGATTGGATTAAAAGTGGTCTTTGTAAACATTGTGACCCATGTCTTTGACACACCTCCTCGCCGCTCTTGAAGAAAGTCTCTTCATAAGAGGAACGCCAAGAGATGAAGGAGGACACGGGATGGGGAGGCAGACTTTGGAGTCTTTGTTAGGCACGTGGGCCTGTGTTTTGTGTCCGTTTTGTTCTTCTAAATCCTCCTTGGTTTGTGTTTGTCTCCGAGCTCTGCTTTGAGCGATTAGAGACGAGGGTTTGAACAGCTCTGTTAAACGAAGACATCATTTCAGCCCTTTCTTGTGGCTTTGAATAGACTTTCTTTGTATCAATAAATGACACTAATGGTTTTGAATATTAGCTTTTTTTAAAGTTTGCTTCTTAAAAGAGAAATAGTCCAAAGTGTTCGCAGAATTTCCCTGCTCTTTATGGGAGTATATTGTATTGGACAAGTGATGTCAGTAAACCATGGCACCAGAGATGAGCCATATCACAAGAGGCATCGCTAGAAATCGGAGTTGTGCCATTAGACAGAGAGAAAGGCAGTATCTTGAGCGAGAGAGAGTAAAAGGGCAGAGACACAGAACGGATTGTTCCACAACAGACTGACGGACCTTTTAGCCTTATCTTCCCGAGCTACTCTTACAGAAAACCAAGGAGAGAAGGGGAAAGAATGCCCTGCTCTTTCTCTGCCTCCCATTCTCTCATTTCTCCTGTCTGCCTCTCCCTTCCTTCTTCATTTCTTCTTCCTCTTTTGTCCATCAGTCTTTACCCGGCGTTTCTTTAAAATCCTCTTAACCCTTGCTCTCCTTCCATTATCCCCTTTCCTCAATATCTTACCTTGATGTTTTAATATCTTGTTTCTTCGCTCGCCCGCTATTATCTTCAGACTCTTAAGAGCTCATTGCTCCTACAGATTGTTAAAAGGTTTACTTGTAAGCCGCCTCCGAGTCCCCGGCATCAGTTGGCTGTTAGTGTTACACGCTCTGTAAAATAGATCCCTCTCTCCATCTCAGGATCACACTGTATGCATGACAGCCATTCAGGAGGGGTGCCGTACAAACGCAGGCCCGGTTGCCTTTGCAAGAGCATCTTATTTGCATTTGTTTACATGTGCCACTCTGTGCAAATTTGGATTTGCTGCATGTCATAAATGTTTTTGGTTGCCCAGTTCCTGATACACACAGACACACACACACACGCGCAACAGTATTTGGTTGTGATGACACCGTGAGTCGTCCCTCTCCTCCCTCTCTGACAGAATGAAACGGATGGATAATTAGATATCAAAGGGAGGCAGGCAGGGTGTGGCGAGGCGCGCGGGCCCCTACGATGGTAAAGCACTTATTAATGAGATAGGCCTTATCTGCTCTCCTCCCAGGAATTCTGCCTTTGATCGGCCCCGACTCCGGACTTAATACATTTTTGATTGATAGGCCGAGATGACAGGAGAGAGGCGGTGTGGACGGGGTAGAGTGGTGGTGGGTGGGGTATGGTGTTGTGAACGAAGGGGAGGGGCCCTCAGATGCAACTGTAAGGATGCCCTTCACATGATTAAATAACTTTATGACAATAGTGTTTATGATACATTAAGTTGAGCAGAACTTGTTTGCATGGTGAACACATTTCAATTCTGCATACATCCACCTACTTGATAAATACACACACAAAGCTTCACATTCCTCCGGCCCACGTAGACATAAATCCCCTAAGACAACCCAAACAGACAGGCCTATTCAGTCACCTTAACCCCGACTATAACTCACACACCGGGGCACCAGGAAATCTTTTCCCTAAGACAGAGCAGGCGAGGGGAAGGCCTGTGGAGGGGGACTGAGATAAGGCCCTATCCCCGTCTAGAGATGAGTTATAGCCCACCCAGGAGGATGTGGCTAGCAACGACCCACCCGGACACGCCGCTCGGCTCGCTGGGATTGGTAGGGACGGTGTACTCCCGTTAGTGAGGCGTCTTCACGGATAGAGATAACAGCCCCGCTCTCAATAACACCTTGACCAGAGGGAGGAGAGGCAACCTCGAATCAGTGAGCCTCCACACACACACACATACACACATACATACACACACACACACACAGACGCACACACACACAGACGCACACACACTGTGCCACACACATCATACAGTACACCACCTTCCTCTCTCCGCCCGACAAAAAGGTGACTGAGCGTAACCATTACAGCGCTGTGTCACCTTGTTATGAGTCTCTGTCAATGTGATGCGTCGGGTAAATTAAAGAAGCCATAACCGCTGTTCCGTCAATGCCACGTTACCCCCACTCATTTATTACCATGCCAACGGGTACGGGGAGAGCCCGTCCCCCATCGGGTGAGCAGATCGATCAACCTGACAGGCGCATTTCAGCTCTCCAAATCAATCACACTAACAAAGGCACGTGAAGGAGGAGGTGGTTGTTGATTTGTGTCTACTACTACAGGTATGTGTCTCGATGAGTCAGAAGAAAACATACCCTCTGTTGTCCTGACAACAAAGACCCAAACTTGAGCAGTCAATGCATGGATCTCCGTCAAAATGATCACATTTGACTTTGTAATGTTATTATTTAGGTTTGATCCTGGTTTAAAGTTTTATGATGAGCTGGAAATGTAATTGTGAAAGGTGCTTGAAGAACAACCATAGGCAGATTTTTCAAACTTGCAAAGTTTTTATTGAACATACAGACCGAACGCTGATGCTGGACGCAGCGTGAGAGTGCTGCTCCACGAGAAACATGATGAAACGGCGAACAGAGAAGGGGTGGGAAGCGAGACAACGCGAGGAGGGGTTAGATGATAAGAGTGGGAAGAACTGATAGAGTGGAAGAAACCGTGTAGAGAAAGAAAATGATTAAAAACAGCAATCACCCGTCGGAGACTGATAAACCAACCAGTCGTTAATTGGAAGCGTGCAACTCGTGGGGATACGGTTGGATTAGGTTCACTTCTTCCCCTCCTTTCTTTCTTCTGTCTCCTCCTCCGTGGCCTTAAATGTCTCAAAGACACATTTCACTATCAACAGTTACAATTAATACAATTTCATATAGTTTGTACTCCTTCACATTCGCTAACCAATTGAGTACAAATTGTATGAACACTCTTATAGACTTCCTCCTCTGCTACTGTACGTCTGAAACCAAACTCGGTAAGACAAAATACCGTTTGTGAGCGAGGAAAATGAAAAATGAAGAGAATCAGAGATGGAAAGAGAAAGAGCGGTGAGGTTGTAGCTATTTTTGAGTGATCTTGGCTTTTGGGGCATATAGGAGATGGGAGATGGGCGGTGGTCCATAAACAAAAGGCTGACAGCCCACCCATCACCTCGGCAGGTCTGGCTTGTGCTGCCTAGATAAAGCCGGGCTGCTTCCTCCTGTATCAACACCATCCATCATCCATCTCCCTCGCCCTCACATCAGCCTCTCACTCCCTACACCTGCCCCTCTGCCAGCTGCTTGGGTCCTGGTCCCCCAGCAGAGCTTTCACCAAACTTTAAACACCAATATCTGTTATTTTAAGCCCTTTTAACGAATATTTAACTAGTTTGTAAGCTTTTCTTAACCCAAATCATCCTTTTTTTCATCTTTTTTTGGGCTTTTTGCAGACATGGCACTTTCAGCACATTAAAGAAAGTACAGAACAGATGGTCTGTTGCAGGAAAGAAAAATACCCAACCCCACCCCTACCCCATTAGTTAAGGAAAAATTGTAATAATACAAATAAATAAAATAATCAAATCATACTTTTATGCCCTTTTGATGCAACGGTCCGTCCGAGCTGTAGTCCTTCTGATTGTTAGTTCACTTTTTTGTTGTGACATGGGGGGGGGTTGTTCTCTTTAGTGAATTGTGAATCTCAAACTTTTTAAGGACGAGCATTAATCATTGATTGTCCGCCATCGTCTGGGCCTTTTCCTGTCGCTGCTCATTTTTGGTTTGCAGCAGAGTCAACACATCCTGACAAGTGAAATAAGAGGCATTGTTTCCTTTCTATTTCTTTTTTTTTTGTATTATGAGACTATTCATGTTTAATGTGCTTTGCCCGTCAAATCAGACAAAAGCAGAAGTGTGACTGAGCTTTGGCAAAATAGCAGTTTCCAAAACTAGCCTGACAAAATATTAAACCACGATTTAGGAAATTGTAGTCCCCTCAAAGTGACCCTTCAGGCCATCATTGTCCCCTCGTCAATTTGCTTTTTGTATGAGCATCTCCTTTCTTTCTTTGTTGCTCGTGGGGAATGGAAATTATGCAAATGGAGATGGGCACTCTGAAGGAAAAATGTTGACATCTCCCGTCCTTGCTGCCCCCTAAATACACACTCCTCATACACACACCATTCAGGGAGCTCTCTTTTGGCCCTGTTTGGTGGGTCTGTCTCTTTTGGCTGTCTCTCAAACATACTTTAACTATTGTAGCCATATTGCCGGTACCACGTCCCTTTCTTCTTTCCGCTCTGGTCCATTCGAGCCAGAATGGACAGGTGCTGAGACAGGAGGCTGTCAGCTATTTCAACAAACAATATTGGGTTATCTAACTTTGTAAGAGAACAGAGAAATTAAAGTGTGTTTGAAAAATAGTGCTTTGATTTTCCGCCTCCATCAATGCTACCCCTCTACATGTTCACATTTTAAACACAGGGGAGAATGGATGAAGAGTTTTGCTTCAAAGGCAGTGACAATTAGTTATGGTTTGGTTCAGAGAAAACTTTGCAAATGCAGTTTTTTATTTTATTTCTTCAGTATTTCATTCAGTTCCACCAATCAGAGGGGATTTAAGAGATAGAGTTTAGACCTGGAGACTGGGTAGAGCAGGGTGGACGGGGAAATGGCTCAACTAGAGGATGAATTAAAATGAATAAAAGCCAAGAAATGGGAAAATGGGCTATCACTCGTGCAGCATAATGAACAAAGTGCAGATACCAGTGCCTTTCTGTGCCGCGGGCCTCCGGGCTCTGTTCTCACACTAGTAAAACATGAGAGTGAACGGAGCCAGAAAGCATAATGATTGTCCATTAGTCTGTCCCGAAACTCTGCTTCCTGTTGTAGCTTTAAGGAAGCAGAGTTTGTGTGTTGTGGGAACCCATCATGTGACCTCGGTGCAGCCTTTGTATACTCCTAACGCACCCAGACACAACTCTCTGTGTTTCCAATTATACTTAGCGCTGAGTCGGGGTTCACTCAGGGATTTAGGAACTCTCGACTCAGACTAAAATACAAAATGTGTGAAACAATAGAATATCTGACACTTTGCTATACATAGTCTGACCTCTTGCCAGAAATAGTCAAATATATATTCGGACATGTGTGATGGCTTTAATGTGAGGTACTCTTTTAATATTATTTTGTAATGTAATAAAACAGGTTATATTTCATTTTATTATTTTATAGCTTTTTTTTAAATTAAGAAGTTAAGTGATACTTGATTGTGTGTTACACTGCAGTTTAATAATCATTTGTCTTTCACACATATATTACTATATCTATATGACCCCCTTCACCTGTTAACAATAGACAAGCAACATATCTTGCATCTTTAAGAACATCATTCTAAACACATCATTTGAGTACATCCTGATGCATTTCACACTTTTCTTGAGTGGCTGACTTATTCCCCCTCAGAGACATGACAAATGAGCATCATCATCTCCACATGATGAGTTCATCCCTGCATACCCCCTGCTCTAATGATGATGATCTTCAGTCACGCGTGGCCCAAGAAAGCGTGATGCGTTTAAGACCCCTGCACTGGCCTTCGTCTCCATTAACCCCCATGACTCAGCTGTTGACAGTAAACCCAACTCCGGTCTAATGTTCACACATCAAACAGCCGCGATCGACACTCTCCGTCTCTGTGGTGAGACATGACCGGATGTGACATAAGTAGACTGAGTGGGCAAGTGGTGTCGTCTGGAAGTGTGTGTGGGAGTAAGAGAGAGCTTCGTGATATTAGCGCTGAGGAATGTGATGTGTTGGAGGTCATGTGAAACACCGCTGGCACTCTGAGTAACCTTCAGGAGGGCTATCACGACGTGACCCGGAAGCAGTCAGGTCAGGAGTCGGGGCAAAAGGCTCGTCTCTGTTGACAGCACCCTCTCCAATCTATACACAACTCTCACTCCTACACCTCCTGGGAACCGTACTCCCTGTCTGCTCAGTTTAAAGTTTTCTGTCCACACAGGAAAAGACATGTTGACGTGACTGACCAAAGTATAGAGAGCCATTGTTGGACGTGAGGGTATCAAGGAGCCATTTTTCTGCGGATTGAGCTGAGAAAAAACGTCCCCCAGGAAGTGGTGTGGTCGACAAATGGAAACCACATCTTGATGTATCTCACAGGTCAAACTCCCTTGGGTTTTCAAACAGGGAAAGATGTTAATGGCTAGAAACACGTGGACCTTTGATTAATGTTTGACAGCTCTAAGAATAGGGAGGGGATGGCTGGAGAAAGAGTTGACGTAAAATAACACTGTTCAAGTTGCATGTTAAACAAACATCATGACCTTTTGAAATGCTGCAGTCTGAGATTTGCGTACATTTAGTAAATTAGTGTACATTTGCAAAAGTAACCTAATTTTCAGAGAAAGCAAATGGCGGTATTTTGACGGAGCACAATAGTGGTCCACTCAGCAGGCAGATTGTTTCAAATGAGGCGAGAGTGATGCAAGGACTAATGACTTGTGTAGCCTGCTGCTGCCACAGCAATTATCAATGCTCTTTACTTTTTTGAACAAGGCAGAGTGAACTCAATAAAATGGTCTCGTGTTGTTGAGATCATAAAGAAGAGTGCCCCTGTGTTGGTTAATATCTGATTAGTTTCTGAAAATAGTGTGTAATAGTAAATAAAACGCTGGATAAAGGAGATGACTTACTCTTCAAATAATAATAATAATGAGTAATGGCATACCAGGTCTTCTAGCAACGTGTGAGCTCTGTCCTAGAAAGTATTTGCACTGCAGCGTGCATCTAGACCTCTGCTGTATATAAACTGTAGCTACATGTCTCTGTTTGTGCCGGTTTTAAAACATGAACATTGAACATGTTAAATGGCGTAGGTTTTATAGAATTAATGTTAACATCATTTCTAAGACTGCTTATTTTAAGGCTGAAACTAAATCAATAAACAGCTATTTGGATAATCTAGTAATCATTTTGTCAACTACGTTTATTTTTGAAGACTTTCTACAATGGTAGGATGCCATTTTCTTTCTTTGTTTATATCAGGAGACATGAACATATGTAGGGTTTTTGGTTTGGTGATTTGACAAAACAAAATACTTCCAATACGTTGGGATTAAGAAACATGATTTTTAACCTTTTTTCATTAAAACGTCTTTTCAGTTAATTGTATTTTTCTTGTAATTCCTATAAAACGTCTGTATTTCGTACAGTTACAGTTGTACAGTCGCATTTAGCAACTGAACAAGGTAACACACATGCTAAGGCCTTATTAAAAACGCTAAAGAAAACAATTAGTTTGAGTCATTTCTTTTTCACCAGCTAAAAACCGTGAAAGTCTTTTGAATAGCTGGCACCATTTTAACTTTCGCCAGCAATTAAGCTGGTGGACAAAAAGTCTATTCTGTACCCTTGTTTTTAAATGTTTTTAAAAGCACACATAAATGCCGAGCCTTTGCGATTATAATAACAATTAATGTGCTGTTTATTTTATATTTTTGTATTAAATACTTTGCATCACACCTACATCAATAACACTAACTTAATGTTATTCTTTGTAAAATAAATTAGTCAATCAATGAACTTGATCCCATTAAAGTATTAGGATGAAAGCTTAATAAATCATGGTATTAATGTGTCTGCCATGTTATTAAACTATAGTTAAACAACCTACATGTTCTCCACGTCTGCGGTGTACTTTTCCTTTTCTTTTCCTTGACAATATAAAAGGAAAAGCCTTATTTAAACAAATCCACTGCACGTCAGGCGCACAGCTTTTTAGCAAGGTCAGAACAGCTCAACTTGTCAGTGTGTGCACGTCTGTGTGCAGCATTAGTGTGTGTGTGTGTGTGTGTGTGTGTGTGTGTGTGTGTGTGTGTGTGTGTGTGTGTGTGTGTGTGTGTGTGTGTGTGTGTGTGTGTGTACCCACTCTAATGTGTGTTTTAATGTTTTAACATATGCAACCCCTTATAAACAGTGTTTTATGCAAACAGTGGCAGGGCTCCCATCAGATAATGGCTCAGGAACAGGAGAAGGAGACTGCCTTGTGAGGGGGAGAGAGGGGAGGAGGAGAGGCGGAGTGAGTGAGGGGTGAGAGCGGAGGCAATGTGAGAAACGAGCACAAAACAGCGGGGCCAAGAAAATGTCTCTTTAGGACGTTTTGAGACAGCTAAATAAATAGCAACACATTTGTCTCGGGAACCTTTGTGGGTTTTTCTTTTGACTTTTTGAACATTTGAGCATAACATTCCTGTGACCTTGTTTTATTTTATTTTGTACGACAACTGACTTTAGCAAAGACTTTACTAAATACAGAAGTTTTCTAAAGGAGTAAAAAAAACTTCAAATACTGCAATTGGTTGCTGTACAGAAAGAAGCCCATGTAGCTATTTCACACTGGGCTTCTATTTTGGTGAATTCAGAAATGTTCCCCCCAACATGTGATATCAGCTGTCCACCGCAGTCCAGAGTGTATCTTGAGTTTTCGGTGTTTTTCGGCGTAATCTGCTGTTTTGTGTGTGTGTATCTGATGGTAAGACATGGCATGGCATTGGTCACTTTATCATTGCCAGTGTAATCTCTCCTCTACTTCCTTTACCAACACAACATAAAGACCGCTGGCTGATAAAACACAACACAACGTGGCCTGGTGGCTCGAGCTTCTATCTCCCTATCTCCATTTCTTTCTGTTGCTCTCAGCAGACGAGGGGAAAATGTGTCCAGTCCGCTCTGAGTCTTGATGTACGTCTTGCCTTCCATTTTAACTCTCTCAGCATTTCTCTAAATTATGATTTCCCTCTGTTTTTGAAGATTGAGGAAGCACTGTGGTGTTGACTGAGCTACTACTCTGCCCTAGATCAGCTAAATCTCTCATTTTGAACACCCCCCGCCAATTTCTGTCACTCCAGGAGACAAATGTGCATCTCGAGTTCATTCCCCCCCTCTCCCCGTGCCCACTGGCTGCCTGAAACTCAGTTCCTTGCGCCTTTGAAGTGCTGCGTGCAGAATGGAGATTCTTTGCATGGTAAATTTGCCCAGTTGCCCGCAGCGTATCCATTACACAAGTTTAAACTATGCTTCGGAGTCGTTTTGGAAGGGCCCTTTTTTCTCACTTCACAACCAATTTCTCTGTGTTTTGAACTTCGCTAGTTATGAGCCATGTAATCCGTAAATTGGGCCCTTTCTTCCGAGCTCGCGCTCCACCGTCGAGCAGCGTTTGATGTGCAATTATTTTGCTCATTACAAGTTAATTTTATTGTTATAGTTTGCAAATGTTTCTCCGGGTCATGATGTTAAAAGTTTCTGAAGAAGTGAGAACGAGGGAGAATTAGCGGGTGGAGCGCACGCGGCGCGGCGAGCTCATTTGAGATGCCGGAGCCGGCTATCTCTAGGCTCACTTTCAAGCCTTTTAGAAACAACCTGCTGGGTGGTTTGAATAGCTAAGGAGAAGTTGATCTGGGATTTAGTGTGGCAAACCGATCCAAGGCCCTTTATCTGCTGTAAAAGGTTGGGAAAATGGAGATTTGTCGTGTTTGTTAACCATAATCTCCTCCACAGAGAAATGTTAGCAGTATGGGAATCATACATCCCCTTTTATTATTTTTCCTTTTGTCCCCATTCTCTCTCCACACACATCTTGGCAACCTGGTGAGATCATGTATGTTTACAGACGCATTGTTGATACACGAAGGGAGGGATGGCGAATCATACAATCTGTCCTCTTTTTTCAGAAATACCAGATTTGAGAAGCTTGCTAATTTCACATAGAAGAGGATCAACACTTTAATTATGTCTGGCTCGTGAACAAAGCTAATTGTTGAGCTGCTAAATGTCATTGTTAGAGCTTGGCAGTGCAACTCTGAACATCATATAACCATGCCGCTAAGCATTCAATTGTGACTGAATTACGCTGTCATGCTTTACTTTTCAATAGCTGCTAAATCCATTGATGGAAATAAGATTGGATTTTACAGTAACATTTAACTTTTCATTTACAATTGAATCATATGATACCCCAAATCATTTGGCTGAAATACTCGTTCCTTTCTTGACTTGAATAAACACAGCTGCTTCAGTTTGATTCAGTCACCCTAACTCAAATACATTTTTAATTACCCTTTAGCTGTGGGACACAATAACCAACACACGTGCGCAAATTGTTTCTACATTCTCCTTTTCATCTGAGGAAGAGATAGTGCTCTTTCTTTTCCCTCTCTTTCATTTCTCCCCGTCTCACTCAAATTCTTGTTCTTTAATACCATCAACGCTAAATAAACTTTGTTGACAACAATAGCTGCTGGCAGAGCGCCTCCACAAACAAAGGAGTGCCAACAGGTTCAAAGGCAATGCATCACTCTGACTCTTCATTATTCATCCTTCTGTCTTTACCTCTCATCCCCCATTATTTTCTATGTGTGCCTGTGTGTGTGTGTGTGTGTGTGTGTGTGTTTTCTTTGTGGCTCTTTGTCTGTTAAACTGCTACATGGTCTGGATACTGAGGCTTATTAGCCGTTCAGTTTAATTAAAAAAGGCCATTCATATGAAAATGTGAGTCCGATAGCGATTGCTGTCCCCAGCAGCTTCCTCCTGTTACTTTTAATTAGACACTCACTTGATTGACATCAAGCCCACTGGCTGGCTGAAGCCTGGTGTGTGTGCTCAGTTAGTGTCCATGTGTTGAGTGTGTGCAGGCATTTTCCACACAAACATATACATACAAAAAAGCGCGCTCTGAGGTCATTAAAGCGTTACAGCGGGAGACCGTACATCAAAGTTCACTTTGTCGTCATGAGCTAATTATCCGCACAGTAGCACAGCGGCTGCCCACCTTGTCACTCATGTCCACCGGGTCACGTCCAACAATGAACAGTAACCTTGTGATTATGAACAGGGTCCACAGTGTTGCTGTGTTCAGTCACACCAGCACCACCCGCCAGGCTGATGGAGAAGGTGATGAGCTACTTTTCAATTTCTATTTGTCCCCTCTTCCTTCATTCTCTCTCTCTCTGGAGGGAAGTGGCTCTCTTCATCTGTTTTCAGCGCACGCTCCAGCTCTCGCTACCTTATTATTATACTGTCAGCAGCACGTGCCTGGCTGATAGATGTTCCTCTCAACTGTTTACTACAAGCAGATGATTTAACTAAGGCTCTCTGTTCAACTTGACCTCTTCTCTTCTCTTGTTCTGAAACAAGAGGACTTCATCTGTTGTTTACGACGACTCCATTTTACGGGTGCAGGCAGAGGAACAAGCTGGTTATACTGTTGATGGTTGTTTTATAAGATGAAGGTGTGTGTGTGCTTGGTTTCGCCTCACATCTCTGTTATCGCTGGGCAGATTGCGTGTTGGCTATTCTTTTTTTCGTGCAGCTTTTTATTTCCAAACACAACAACAGCTCATGTGAGTTAGAGTAACAGTGCTCTGAAATGTCCCCGGCTGAATGTAGCCCAGAGAGGCAGCCTGTTTCATGTTAAGGGGCATGGTAAGCCCCGCCTCCACGCAGACTGCAGTCTCCAGCTGAAATGGCCCATCAGAAGTCACTGCTCTGTAAAGTTGTGTTCCTCTCTCCGTGTTTTGTTTTGATTTGCAGGACGTTTGGGAATGATTTGGGAGTGAGGCCCCAATGGGGCAGGGATACAGAGCAAGACGTGCACCGTGAAGCTGAAAATGTTGTTCCAATTACCGCCTTCATTATGGGTTTGTCATCCGTGGTTTAAACGCACGGCGGCCCGCATTTCATGCTGTGTCAGGAGAGGCTGCTTCTTGTTGTATTACATGTAGTATGATCTCGGCTCCAGGCAAATGCAGTTTAGGGTGTGGAGACGGCCACTGATAGGCGGCACTCTTTGTTCAAATGTGAATGAATTTAAATGAGTTAAAGAAGTCCGTTTTCTAGTTTGTAGATTGTCAGCATTATAAGAAATCTTTCCTTGATATGTTTTCAAATCAAACATTTCTTGAAAGTAGTTTTTTTTTTGCTTCAGAACATTTCCATTTAAAGCCACACAGTCACTATATATATATTTTTGACTCTGTAACACAGTGTTCTTTCCTTCCTCTCAGACAGATTAAATCACTTGTGTTACTCGGAAATGCTCCAAGCAATAAGGCGTGTACAAAAGAGCCTAACATGGTTTGAAAGAGCATGACAGAGAGTGTGTTGATGTAACGTATCATTGTGGTGACTCTGTTGAGTTAACACCATTAGCCAACCAGTGCGAGAGTCCAGCTGTCTCTCTGAGCCTCTGAGGTGAGTTACCTGGGCTGACTTACCTGTCCTCCCAGTGCCCCCCAGGATACAGTGTTTCAGCCAGGCCCCGTGTCCTCCCGTCTCCACAGCACTTAGCAGTGATTAACCCCGGATTCGGCCGGCCCACCTGCCATCTGACTACCATTACAGCCGCGCTTATCTGCCTCTCCATCTCCCTACAATAGGGCCGGGGCCTGGGCTAGGCTGGGGGCTCGGGCCGGGGAGGGCTGCCTGCTCTGTTTAATAATAAATCATTAGCTAAATACTTTTGTCCATTTGTGTCATGTTACATGTACTTCAATTTTCTGCTCTGTCTCTGTCCATCACCCCCCCCCTTCCCGCACACACACACACACACACACACACACACACACACACACACACACACACACTCTCTTTTGCTTCCCTTTCTCGTCACCACCGCCACCGTCCAGTCGCTGCCAGTGGCTCTCCACCAGACTACTCCTTCCTGTTTTTTTCCTTCCCTTTTTCTCACTGTCTCACCACTGACTACACATCTGACTGATTCATATCGCAGCGAAAGTTAATCTTTGTTCACATAAGCAGCCACACAATTGTATATATCCTATAATTCGACCTGGTGAAAAATATATTTTGCTATCGCAGGAAAAATAATTGATTTTCCACCTTGGGTTGATAAAACAAGCAAACATCGTGCTTCATGTTTTGTTCCTGTTTTCAGAAAACTTGGAATGGCACCATCTGAATTGGCCTGTTTTGGCTGCTACTGTGTCAAAAAACATCCATTCAGACATATCACTGATTCAACTTTACACTTTTTTTCCGTCTGGTTCACTGTAAAAGGACACCGCTGAGGTACAACGACTAGGATTTGTGTCACAGTGGTTTCACAACACACGTATGCTTGACACTGTCATTGGCAATCTGGACAGCGAGAACCAGATAAGTCTGTTGGTTCATCTAACTTGTATAAAGTGATTATGGACGTACTGAGCCCTCCATATTTAGACTGCCTGACGCCCCTCTTCAGTTCCCCCCCTGGTCTGACTGTTGTAATTTAATTTTCCGCTGACAGAGGCCGTGGAGATCCTTGGGTCACGGTGCAAGTCCCTGCAGCACCCCTTCCATCCCCCCCTACCCTGCGCCCTCACGCTCTAACTAAGAAGTCGCCATGCAGCAGACAGCACACATTAGATCTGTCTACCACTGCCCCGGCTAACCCACCCGATCCATAACCCCATGCTGTAATGAGACAGAGATTAGGGGAAAAAGACGGCAGCGAGGAATTGCATTTATCCTCCTATCCGCTTCCTGTTGTTCCTATCATTGCTTAGCACCTTACAATACCTGACAGGCTGAAAGATGAACTGTATGTTGCATATTATTTCAAACCTGTCAGAGATCATTTAGCAGGATAAAAGTGGGGATGGAGAAAGTGTGCTGTGTTTGCCTGCCGTGTTGGAGGCCACAGCTGGACAGGTCGCGCTCCTTGTTGACCTTCAGCGTGTCACCGACCTGACTCAGCTTCACTATGCATCACTCTGCCTGTCAACACTCGCCTATGGCCTGCACTTCTACTGTTATCTGCCATGGAGAGCAGACCTTAACATGATTCGCCCGTTGAGGGATTTATCCCGATCGCTTGACCGCCGCTGATTTCAATATCTGGATACACAACTCGGAGGACATTTTTATTTCCTGTGTTATCGTAGCCTCATACAGCCTTCCAAAGTTCAGGCTGGTGTGAATTTGTTTTACTTCTGTCTCAAGTGAGCAATTACAGTTTTTTTCAATGTTGATGCTATTCTATTTTTTCATTCAGCATCTTGTATTGTAGTACCCCCCCTCCTTTCTCTTTCTTTTTCTCCTTCCCTCTCTCCTCCAGGCCGTGGCATAGCCAGTAGCTGATAGGCATCTCCTCTGGAGTCTGCTGCAGTCTGCCCTGGCTTCAGACAAAGTGCCTCCATCAGACCAGTGAGGCTCCCTGGGAACCTCGCAGCAGACCCACTGGCCCCACCAGCGCTGTGTGTGTGTGTGTGTGTGTGTGTGTGTGTGTGTGTGTGTGTGTGTGTGTGTGTGTGTGTGTGTGTGTGTGTGTGTGTGTGTGTGTGTGTGTGTGTGTGTGTGTGTGTGTGTGTGTGTGTGTGTGTGTGTGTGTGTGTGACAAGGGCTCAGACTGGGACCTTTTGTGTTCCAGTCCCTCCCTGTGTTGTAAATGGGTTTTGTAAACTGGGAGATGTGTATAGCGTCCATGATACGTAGGCCACAGAATGAATGCTTGGTTTATTCAGAGTGATCATCTGGAAGCCCCGCTCCATACTATTACTGACTATTCATTATATATGTTTGTATTCATGCGGTTGTGTTGTAGTCCATGTGAAGGAGCCATATCAAGATTGACTGCTTCTCAAAGCCCTGAGACAATGAAACACACACACACGCATACACACACTTTATAAGTCATGCTCCCACTTCAAATCTGCTCCTGGCATCGGGGAACACTTGGGAACGCTTGGCTTTTTGACTTTCATCATAACTAGAAAGAGAGGGACCAAATGGACAAAAAACAAAAACCAAAGGAGGAAATCAGAAGAAGTGCTTTTATCAGGGGCCCAGTGTTCAGGGGCTGACACACACATGCAACACACACACACTCTTCCTGTACCTGACCCCCATGTGACCCCCATAACTTTCCAACATTTAAAAACGCAGCCGGGGAGGCTGTTCTCCCACTGGAGTTTATTTGTGTGTGTGTGCATGCATTCCTCTTAGGCTATCGGCACCATCACTTGACAAGAATTATATAATTGCAGCCTGTGATCTCATTTTCCTCAAAGAACATTTTGAAGTTTCCTTTCCGCTTTTAGTCTTTTTGTTTCCTCTGTGCCCCACTTGTTTTAATGTTAAAATGACTCAAATTAAATCATCCGGCGCTCCACCGCTCCTTTGTGCCATCCTGCAGCGCTTTAGCTCTCACTGTTTGTGGAAACTTTTATATGTTTACAGAGTGTGTTTGTATTGAGTATTTTTATTGTTGAGAGGTAAGCTATATAGGGTAATGTGAGACACTTCAGTTAATGGACTCCACCTTTTTAACACTCAGCCGCAGTAATGACAGAAAAAAAGATCTTAGTTACTGAACATTGTTTTTAATACAGGAGAAATACAAATGCTTTGGCTAACTTTTTTAAATAAAGTCAAGGTATTTTCATTTATAAAAATCAAATGGTTATTTTCTTAACTTCCGTTTTTTTATTTGTGATGAATACTTACGCATTTATAAAGGCTTTTCTATTTTATTTGTTATAATAATTATTTGTTTATTATCTGCCGTCAGATTCTGACTTTAGAAATTGCCTTCCGGTTAAAGTTTTAGGAATCTTTGAAATCGTAAATAAAGAATAGATTAAATTCTAATTAAAGTGATGACAGTTAAATCAAAGAAGCATGACTTATTTGATGATTATATTAACATTTACACCATACTATAATTTCTATCTTCCGGTTCCTATTTTACACTGCTCCCAACACCAGCTGCCCTTTACTAATTAAGCAGCTAATGACTCTGTACTTTGACTCTCTGGATACTTTGTATAAAGCCATGCTAAATCACAACCCAATCTGTACATCTAGTCTAATTCTCTTACCCCACATCTCTGCAGCTGCAGACCCAGTCCCAGTCAATAGAGGGCAGAAGTGATCTGCAGAGGCCTGACACAACCTGAAGGGAGACAGAGACATACAGAGACAGTTTAAATGTGTGTGTAAGTGTGTGTGTGCTCATCGGTGTGTGTTTAGGTTTTAATATGTATGCTTGTTTATGGTGATGAATGTCTGTATATCACTGGTCCAGCTGCTGTGGTTGAGATCCTTTAATGCACAACTAAAGCAAATAAATATAATGACAACAAATATTAATACACGCTATGGGACTATACAT